AAACCTCCATTTTCAGGTTTTATTGCAGTGTTGGCCAGACAGACAGACACAGACAGACACAGAGAGAGACAGAGACAGACAGCCAGACAGAGACAGACAGACACAGAGAGACAGAGACAGACAGAGACAGACAGACAGAGACAGACTTTTTCCTTTTTTCCACGGTCTGTAATGAAGCATCGTCTCAGTCGTGTACGGAGGGGTGAGGGGAAGTCTACAGGGCATTTTAGGCCAACTTCTGCATGGGGTTCTTTTTCTGGAAGGACTTGGGGACCCCCAGTGAAAAAATCTGGCCTGGATACAACGAGCTGCCGGCTGTCAAGAAGATGACGTTCACCGAATACCCGTACAACAACCTCCGCAAGCGGTTCGGCGCGCTACTTTCAGACCAGGGGTTTGACCTCATGAATAAGTAAGTGAGCAGCAGCAGCTGATTCAGAGGAGAGGCTCATCCAGAGGAGCTTGGACTCCAGACCCCATCGGCCCCCATCCCCGTGGCTCACGGTTGGGGACTGTAGGGTCGGCTGGACCAGGGCCCGAGCTGGAAGGGTGCGGTGTCTTTGAGGGTGGTCTGAGCTGGCTGGGGGTGAGGGGTGTTTGCCCAGGGGGCCACCGGCTCCCCACCCCAGCTTTGTCACCCCAAGGGTCCTGCTTGGCCCTCTCGCTGAGGCCGCTGCCGTCCCCGTGCTGGGCAGCTGGGTGTGAGAACAGCCCTTTCCCTGGGCAAGCGATGGGGAAAAGCCAAATCTGGGCACTGAAGCCCCTGAAAACTAACTTCAGTGGTTTCCCCCTTGCAAGGGGGCAGGCGGAGTCTTAGCCGGTTGGAGTGGGCTACGTGGAGCCCCCTGGGATGATGCTGTGACGCCGTCTGGCGCTTGAGGCTTGTGGGTGGCACCTGGTTCCCTCCCGAAGTCAAGTACAAGGGGGCCCCTGCAATTTAGCCGCCAGAGTCTCCGCCTGGGGCTCAGGAGGTCCGGGTTCCAGTCCCCGCTCAGCCACGATGTTCCCAGCCGCTGCCGCTCCGCCAACCTCACCCAAGGGTTGTTGCGAGGATAAACGCAGAGGAGAGTCGCCTGTCAGGCTTGGCCAGCCTTTCGCCCCGGTTTAAGCGGCTGGCAATCACTTCACCCCAGAGGGCTCTGCGTGGGGAATGGTTCCGCCGGAGTGTGAAGCAGCCGATGAAATCACAACCATTCTGCAACCTTGACACTCACGCAAACTGCCTGGCTGCTTTTTTCCCAGTACAGCAAGCAATTAATCAAACACCAGCATTTGCAGTCAGATATGCGTAGCTGGAAGCCCGAGGTTTTTTTTTTTTTTAAAAAGTGGGTTGGGGAGACTTCCAGCCAGGGGTGGGTGGGGGGAGCCTGCAGCCCCGCAGCTGGTATCGCAAAGTGAACGGGGGCAGAGGGAGAGTGCCTGGGCCATAAGCCCCGATAGACCACCTGCACAATCAGCCCTTATGCTCGCGTGCCGATTTCCAGATTCCTGACGTACTACCCTGGGAGACGGATCACCGCTGAAGACGGCATAAAACACGAGTACTTCCGAGAGACGCCTCTGCCTATTGACCCGGCCATGTTCCCTACGTGGCCGGCAAAAAGCGAGCAGCAGCGAGTCAAGCGTGGGACCAGTCCACGGCCGCCTGAGGGAGGCTTAGGATACAGCCAGCTGGTAGGTGTTCCTTTGCGGAGGCCTTTCCATGTCTTGAGTGCATCGGCTTTCCGTTCAGAAAGAGAAAACAGGTTTCTTGGCCCTTGTTACTCACAGAAGGGGGGAGAAAGGAAGAAGTACCTTCGTTTTGTTTTTTTATGGATGAGACCGGGGAGAAAAATGAAGAGGGGACAGCCAAGTCTAAAATGCAACGGCCTTCCAGTCCCCTCGCAGGACAGATGCAAAGTGAGCCTGACCACCTTGCAGTGCCGAGGTGCAGAGCATCTGTCGGCTCAAGGGCCAAATTCAATTTTGGAGAAGTTCTTGGAGGGGGGAGCCAAAGATGAACAGGGAAGGGCCGAGTGGCAAAATGCCGGCAAGGTTCCGCTTAAAGCTCTTGCTGCCAGTAACTTGACCCTCAGCAGCCGCTTTTTGACGTTTGCATTGGAAGAAACACTGTAGAACAGCTGGGGAAGCACCAGATTCTCCATGGAGTGAAAGGTGGTGAGGTCAGGGAAAGAGGGGTAGTTTTCTGTTTTATTTCCGTAATTTTTACCAAATAAATCTCCTGGAGCAGCTTACCTGGGTGGCTAAGAAGACAGCCCCCATCTTCCAGCTTACAAGTGAAAAGTCATGACACAGAAGGAAAGGGGATTAGGTGGGAGGAAGAAAAGTGCAGGGCTGAGTTTCTAGGGAATGGATCTATGTTCCTTTGGTGATGAGGTAAGATGTGCAGAACCTTTCTGAACTGCTGCATAATCCTTTGAATGTTTTTTTTAAGAGGGGTAAGCTTTTCCAAGAAGGCACATATTCCCCTGTTTTCTAGCTGCTCGGAAGTTCTGGTCTCCTCTGGAAGGTCACGAGCAGTAGGTGGGCACTGTAGAATTCTGGGCTGCATGATTTAACTCCCACCCACCCACCCCATCCGCTCCCTGGCTCTATGACCGGTCTTCTCGCTTTGCCATGCCGTCCTGCAGAACGGCTTGGCTTTCTCCCGTGTGGCACTTGATCCTGGCAGAACTGGCCCTGTGTCCCCTCTGCCTCTATCCATCAGGGATCCCTTGCTCCTTTCCTCCAGATCTGCCCTGAACAGGGCGGGCCGTGGCTCAGGGGGAACTCTGAGGCTTTGCACCAAAGCCGTTCTCGGGTTCGGGCTGCAGCAGAGTCTCCGGCCAGAGACGAGGTGATGAGGCAGGACAGGCCTCTGCCTGGAACACTGAGGTGTGGGGAGCAGTTTAGGCACTCCTGAACTGGTAGCCCTGCATGACTCCGGCCAGGGGCCGCCGCCTCTCGTGTGACCCATGTGCCCGGACAGACAGCGGAACTGCTTGAAGGCATTCATAGCCGCATTCGGCTTGGGCGCAGGCCCAATTGAACTGCCGGCAGATGGCGCTGTGGCTTCACAGAAGCTATAAGAACCGCCGTGGTGGAGCAGACCAAAGAGGGTCTGGTTTCCTCAGGAGCCATCTGGAAGTCCTGTCAAGCCTCGGCACACTAGGGTTTCTGCATCTGGCTAGTCCTCATCGTTTCTGACACCACCCTTGCAGTGCATCAGGACATGCTGAGCCTTTGCCCGTTTGAAGTCCATTCCCCCAGTTTAAAGAGCAGCTTATGAAACTTTTCCCAGTCTTCCCTCCATCCCGAGAAGGGCCTGTTTCTTCTTACTCTCCTTTCCCTGTGGTTTACTGCAAAAGAGGCTCCGGAGCGGTGGCTGGACGGATTTGGAAATCCGCGCAAGCTTCCCAGTAGCCTCCCTGCCGCTCGGCTCTTTGAAACTAAGCCCAGTCCGCCTTACCCAACGTGGCGCCCGGATTGCAGTTCCCATTTCCAAGCCGTGCCCATGGAGGACTAACAGCAGGGAATGTGTAAGATAGAGGAAGTCTAGCTGGCCCTCCAGTCCAGAAGGCCAGTTCCTGCCCCCTCGCCCACAAACGAGTGTGCTGTCGCCGCAGAAACATTGTGAGCGGGTGCCTGTCCGTTTCTGCCCTTCTAGGGTGACGACGACCTGAAGGACACAGGCTTCCATCTGACCACCACAAACCAAGGCGCCTCGGCTGCAGGACCTGGCTTCAGTCTCAAGTTTTAAGGCAGGAGCAAGCACCTGGCTCACGCCTGAGCGGCTGTCGAGGGCTCCCTGTGTGGCTTCCACCCCAGGCGTCCGGCGCTCTTCTAGATGTCCGGCAGCAGGTCACCTGCGGGTGGAGTGGAGTGAATTCCCAGCTCTGGGGCTTTGCCTTCCATTGGAATTAACTGCAACACTCAGAGACTCCTGCACTGAGATGAAGCAAAGCAGAATCATCCCACCAAACTTGAAGTCCATTTTTTGAGACTTCTTCCCCCTCCTCGTTTGTATTTAAATCTTTTATTCCAGTTGGGGGTGGATTTTGATTTTTGCTTGTACATTTGTAGAATAAAAAGAAATTGATTTTTAATTGTTTACTCCGTCTAAAGGGGACTCTTTTCTTCACTAGCTCCTGATATGGCAACAGACGGCTGTTTGCACAAAGACCAGAGATCTCTTCCCTGTTCTTTCTTGATAGTCCTTTTCTTTGATTTTTACAGTGTGATAGTCTGCCTGAGTTTCACTTTCAGAAATTGAACTAAGCTGTGAGCTGGCAGTTTTTACAAAGAAAAAGAAAAGGCATGATTTGACATTGAGTGATACCATGTTTGGGAAAGTGTGTAAAATCGAGTTATTCATGGTGAACATCTGGAAAAATTTTCAGGGTGGGGGTTTCCAAATTGTTGCAGTCAGCTGCAGCTATGCAAAGAATACACAGAAGAGCAGTTGCATGATTTGCTGGTTTTGTCAACTGGATCGCAATCGATTTTGCAAGCTCTCAGCACGATCACAAGTACTCTTTCCTCCCCCGCACCCTCAGCTCGGGCAACTCCATGCAGCCAACAGAAGCACCCCTGCCCCTAAAATGAGTGTGTGGGCTTGTGTGTTTGTGTGTGGGCAGATTACTTACCATCTGTGTGATGCACAGAGGCCACAAAGACAAAATCAGGGTTACTTTGCAGTGTTCCAGTTTTTAAATCTAAGAATGCTCCCAAGTTCTACCATGGAATTGGGATTTTAACGTAGCTGAAACTATTCCAATGTTTCCCCAGTGTGTGGGTGTTGTAACACAGAAGCCGCACCCCTTCGGAGACCGGTTTTGGTTCCAGCCATTCTATTGCTTTCCAAACTCGGAAGAGAATGGTCCTTGATCCATTTAAAAATGCCTCTTTTAAAAACCATGACTTTGTAGACCATATGATACCCCATCAGCTTTTAACCATTGACTTTACCCTCAAGATATTTTGCTCTAAAGGTTGCCCACACCAGTTTTAAAGAAAACAATGGCTCTGCATCATTACGTCTACCTGCTCTCACATCTTAAGTTACTTCCGATGGACGGACGACCTCGTCATATTAATTTAATAATGACCAAAGGGCTGTAAATTTCACCCACCCTCTGCTTTGCATTCATGAGCCACCTTGGTTGTCTTTTGCTGAGCAATGGGCTGCACTGGAGTGGAAAAATGTAGAGGTCGGAGGAGTTACTTGTGTGTCATATAAGCTGAACCTGCAACCACGACCCTTCTCTTCCACAACCTGTAAACCTCCTTATTGTTTGTGGCTGTTAATCTTTGTGTATGGGCGACTGGCCTTAACAACGCCAGCATTGGCAGATGATTGAGGCAGATAGGAGCACTTTCCTTTCCATACCAAAAGGCTCATGGAGGCAGGCAGCCTGCAGCTGAAGCTGAACTGGATGGATAAATGTTCCAAGTTATCAGAAAACTACCTACAAAATAAACATCAAATTTCCCCTTTTAAGGGAATGATAAGGAGGGGATTAACTTTCTTTTGCTCTCACCTGCCAAGGTGCTTTTTTGATTCCGACTTCAATGCATTCTGAAGTGTTCCGCTGGAGAGAAGCCAGCAGAAGGAATTTTAGGTCTCTTCGTTCAGTTGTGCATTTCAGAAGAAGTGTCTTGTGACTGGCATATAGCATTTTTCACTCAGGCAATGTTCTGGAGGATGGTGAGCTATTTTATACGTGTTTCCTGCTTAAATGTTTGGAGAATTCATAGCATCCCTCTCCACCAGTCGATGCTTGTAGATGCACAGAGGCCCAGACTATATTTAACAGCGTCGAGGACCATTTCACTCTGGACTGGGTTACATACAATTAAAACCTTTTTCTTAAAGCGGTCACCTTGGATTGTGTACATTGTGGGTTCTTTCTGTATTGTCACTGGCTTCTCTAGTCATTTGTTGTTTCTGGTTTGTGAATAACACTCTTGCGAAACAGCTGTGAAGTGCAGCACGATTCTAAGAGAACGTCAAGTGGCTCGAAGTTGTTCATTTCCAGCCACCCCTTTTTATAAATAGGACAGTCCATAGGAACAAGGTCCTATAAAGAGGCACCGGCAGGCAGACCTGAAAAGCATATGTAAGTTAGCATTTGCAATTGCTTACTTTTTAGCCTGTGTCTTTTGAGTACCTCACACCAGATCGGCCTATTCCTGTAGCCGACCAAATCTAAATAAGAATTCTGACATCAGCCAGAAATCATTGTCCGTCTCCCCGTGCCCAGATTTCGACAAGGGGAGGCCAGCAGATTCTGTTCTCTGGTCCCAGGTTTCAAGGCGAGGGTTTTCTTCAGGGCTCGAACCCAGCACTTCCTGCGGTGCGTCATAGTCACTACCTACCTTTGGTCCTTTGGTATCTCCAGTCACAGGACCATCGAAGAGGAGAGTTGGAAGGGGCCAGAAGGCTGTTGGGTCCAACCCTCGGCTTTTGCAGGACACTTAAAATGACCCCCTCCCATCCCATCCACATGACTATCCAATTCAGTATGGAGGCCTGGTTCCATAAATCCAAGTGGGCAGGATAATTATAGGGCCGAAGGGATGTTGGAACAATCACGGGCTTTCTGTTACTGTGTTTTCAACCTAATCACATCCCTGGTGCCTTTCGTTGGTCCATCTGGTTTCTTTTAAGAAGGGTTTATGGACACCATAATTCTAGGCCATGGAGTAAGGAAAGTTAAACAGCAGAAGTCTAGCCTGCAGGAGGAGAAGCACTTCATTCAAACAGACCAGCGATAATTTATTGGTGAAATTCCTAGAGGATAAACTGTGCTGTCGCTTTCCAGAAGCTGCGCACAGACAAGAGATCGGGAAGGTCCCCCAAAGATGGATGATAAATACGTGCCTAGCACATGCAAGGAAGTAATTAATGGAGAAACGGACGTTTCAGGCCTGTCTCTGGCATGGAAAACAAATTACAGAAAGCAAAAAACAGAGGGGTCTTTCTGGCCCACCTTTTGTGACTCTCAGAATAGGAGAACTTTAGAAGTTCACAATGGCTTTAGTGTTATGCAGCACTGAATGTCCATATTGCTTCAAATCTCTTATGGCAATCAACTTGTAAGGTAAGTCAGTGGCAAAAGGGGCTGCCATTATAATTAAGGAACGGAACACCTCTCTTGGCCCATGCTCAGTCCAGAAATTTTTGACTGAGGCCGAAACTAACCACCCATTTCTTCTACCCAAGACTTCCAACCTGGTTTCTTCAACACTCTCCTTCACCCATCTAACACAGGATTTAAAACAGACTTTAATTCTAATCATCCCCTGATTAAGCAGCCTTTCTTAAGCTAGGGTCACCTGCTGATATTGGCCTACAGCTCCCATTATCCCCAGCCAGTTGGCCAAAGGACAGGCATGGTAGGTGTTTGAACCCTCCAACATCTGGGGACCCTTGGGTGGGCAGGGCTGCTCCGGGAGGGTGTCTGAAGTGGAGCACAGACCTTCTCACACAGCTTGACTTGTGGTCTTGAAGCGATCCGTTCCGGTGGAGGAAGTTCGAGCGTCCACAGATATCAGCCAAGGGATGATGACGGATGGAGGGGGCTGTGCGTGTTATACGTTTATTTTACTCCCAGCAAAGCACCTAAACACAGGGCAGAGAAGAGCTCCAACGTGGGGTGGATCCGGCTGGATTACCAATGTCCTCGCCAGGCTAATGCTTGAGTTTCACTCTCCAGGAGTATGTGGTCAGGATCTTCGCGTTTTTCTTCACCACGCATGTATAGGTCCCTTCGTTGATGACGTTGGCGATGATGCTCATGTGGTCGTTGTCAAGGTAGAGATAGCCAGGGTAGGAATACTCAAGTAATTCTTTCTCTTTGTACCAGCTAATTGGTGAAAAGCAAGAGGGGAGATAAATTGTCTGGACTGGAAAAAAAAACCCAGCTTCAAGCTCTGGTGCAAGGTTTATGCTGTGTACACACACTTGTGCGCTCGCTCGCTCGCTCTCTCAAGCACACACACACAATTTAAAGAAAGCCTTAGCCAGGAGGCAGATGCTTGGGGCCTCTTCCTTGCCAGAAACACTATCCAAATTTCAGGCATTAGCTAGCATGTCCCAATCTGGTGCCTTCGAGATGTTTCATACTTCAGCTCCCATCAGCCCCAGCCAGCATGGTCAGTGGAAGAGACTGCAGGAGCCGTTGATCAAAACATGAGGCAGAAGAAAACCCCAGTCATCAAACCCAGATGGCAGGCCTATTTTAAGCTTCAGAAGGTTAATGGCTGAATGGTAAGGATTAGACATTGATTAATTTCATTAAAATATTTTACCAACACAGCAGCTTTCAGAGGATTGCTGTGAGGCTTGACCCGCCTGGCGCACTTTTCCCATCAGCTGCTAACTCTTCCCTGCCAGCCCCTGTGTCAGGATCTTGGCTGCTTTGGGGCTTCTGCAGAAGCATTTGCAGGACTGGGACAAGGCCCCGATGGAGCGCTTCGCTCTCCTGACGAGCGCGGAAGAGCAAGCCCTGCTCCCAGCAACACGAGACGCCTTGGTTGCTGCAGCGCCTTTGACCTCCCTTGCTGGCTCGCCTCAGCTCCTGCCCACACAAAGCTCCTCAGCAAAACAGGTCTTCCTGCTCGCTCTTGCCGCGTATCCTGCCTCAAGGCATTGGCCCCTCTGCCTTCCTTCTCTTGACTCTCAGTTTGTTTCTGATCACCTTGGCGGGTGTCAGAAAATCCTGGAATTTCAATTCATGAGGAGGAAATAAAACTCGGGTTCGTGGGAAAGATCAAGCATCCAGACCATCTGTGGCTTTGTCGTTTGGCTCAGCGGTAGACTCACGATAATGCAGTACTCTGCAGGCAGAGGTAAACCCACTGCAAGGTTTCAGTACCACTGCAGGGTATTTTATACCCTCCCGGTCACATCGCAGGTACAGGGCAATCGATGACAGGATGCAGACATTACAGTAAGATTCTGAGGTCGTCACATCCAGAGCAGATACAGGGAGATCAGCCAATCCTACAGTGACACTGAGACCACACGATTTCTAATTGCCGTGTATTGGCACTTTAGTTGAGTAACTTGAACCCAGCTCCAGGTCTGCTCAGACATGCAAATTCAGGCTACTGAGAAACTATTCATGAACTCGTAAGCTCATCCAGACTCAGGCCCTAAGTGATGCATCCGCACCCTTCTGAATGGCCAGGGCACATGGAGCCCTCTGGGCTAGGAAGATACTTCCTTGTAAACTGTGAATTCCAGCAAGGACTATTCCATAATTGTGAAGGTATACAATGTATATTTGGACTGAATGGCCTGTCTACTGTAGCCTACAGCTGAAGGTGAGAGAAAGGAGCCAGGGAGGGAGGCCATTTTAAACAGCCACTGAGCTTGGTTTGAGGAGGAGTGCAGGATTGATTCTACAATGCACACAGAAGCAGTGCTTTTCTGACAGGATTTATCCCAATTTCCCCAACACGGCTAAGTACTCCTGCTTCCCGTCCACGGCCTGCTTGGTGCCCATGACTTGAATCTTGCTGTTGAACTTTGGACTCTGTCTTGGCTCCCTTTCGGTTGCCCTGCTCCTGGTGATGCTGGCGTCTCCTGCTGCTCATGTCCCGGCCCCTGAGACCCTTCCCCATTCTTGGAATGTCTTGGAAAAATGCAACCTCAAGGGATCACACTCCCCCTAGGGAAGACACCGCATTGGGCAGAAATACGGCCAAAAGTGACCCTTGTTCCTAAAAAGACCATTCAGAAAACCTACACGCAGGCACGCTCTTTGTGCCAAGATTTCGTGTGCTCGGCTCAAGACCGAAGCGAGATACTCACGACACTTTTCCCTTTTTGTGGATGATCTTCTGGCCACACCGGAAGGTGACATTCCTGCCTTCTGGAATGATCCTTGTTTTCATCCTTGGGGGAGGTGCCGTCGGCGGCACCGTTGGGAAAGGGAATTCTGCCAAGAGAGCAAAGACGACAGACTGAGCTTCGGTAACAGAGGCCTGCCACTGTTCAGCTTCATCACCGATCGGAGAGCGAGATACACAGCTAACGAGCCCAAATCATCATCCCAGTGAAAGTGTCTGTTAGGAGACGCATGTATACAAACCAAGCATCTAGTAACCATCTGGAGTGCTGGGTCATTTAAGGTGCAATGGTATTCATGTCTGGAGGGAGAAATGGCCTGCAGTTTCCCAGCATGCCCTAGCCAAGGGGAAGGGCATGCTGGGAACGCTATGCCTTTCCTCCATCTAAACTTGCATAGAATCACACCCTTACACAAATGCATGCAGACAAAGATAAAAGAAGGAATATTCATTACCCACGCAGAAATTACAGCTGTATGGACAATGTTTTTTCATAAATTTAGGGCGTGACTTGCAGAATCCTTTCCGAGCCCACGACGGACATATGTGATGTCTATCTTTACAACCTAAAATGAGAGACTTTTTTTTAACAAAGCAAAAACTTGAGAGGTGGAAATAAATATGATGAGGAGGACAACAGCAGCAGCAACACATCCAATGATTTCAAAATCAGATTGAACTTTGAGGACATGGATTTCAAAGGAACTGAAACTACTAAAGATCCAGAGGAACAATAACAGGGCAGGAGATTAACAATTAAACTGCCTGTTGGAAGAGGGAGGTCTGTGTTACTTCCCGGGTGTAGTTTGCAGGTGTCTGTGGCTGGACAACCAGGACTAGAGGTGGTGGACGTGGATTAAGGTCTTAGCTGAATGCAGGAGGCCCAGAAGCAAAGGGCAAAGTCAGGAACAAACAATACTCAGGTATCTAGCAACACTTAGCCGGCCCAAAGGCAAAACCCAGTCCAGGCCGGGGGTTGGAAACCAACAAGGTGTGGTAGAACCAGAGGCCAGCACCAGATCCAGAGGCAAGCTGAGGTCAGATACAACTGCAAAGCAGGGCCAGGAGCAAAGCAAAGTCAGAGAGAACAAGGGAGAGGTGCCTGGCGAGGCGAGGCGAGGCCGAAGAGGAGGGCAAAAGTGGGAGCCGGCGGGAGCACAAGGTCCTGCCAGGAGGCCCATGTTGCTCGGCAAAGCCGAGACCTTCGACAGAGCCATTCAGGGCTCCCGGCTGAGCCACATGATCACACAGGGTCTGATCCAGGATCTGCAGGGTGAACTGTGCTGCTGTCCAGTACTATGCCACTAGAGGGAGCTCTGGATCCTGGCAGTCTAACCCTATCCAGGGAAGGCACCAGGCGGATCTCCCTGGGACGGGCACTCACTCCACAGGCGGGGCCACAGCCGAGAAGGTCCCGTCCTGGCAGCTGCCGGATTTTCCTGCTGTGGCAGCAGCCCAAGAAAAGCCCCCCGGATCAGCCTTAGCCATGGGGCAGGAACACAAGCGTCCTCGGCTCCGCTAGCCGACTGCTGAAGCAGGATAGTTTTGCCCCAGGCAACCTGCCCCTCTGCTTGTCCTCCTGCTCCTGCTCCTCGGCTTGATCGAGGCCGCATCCCTGCCCTGACACGTACCCCTGGTTCCTCACCCCGGCCGGCTCTGTGGCCGCGACTCGGACCTGCCCTCATGCCTCGCTTCGGGGCTCTGGGCTCTGCCTCCCCTCCAGGCCTGCTGCCCTGCTCTTGCCTCCTGCCACGCAAGAGCCAGCCTTCCCTTCCCTGTGCGAGAGGCACCATTTTCCTCCTCCCTTTCTTGTTGTGCAGCCAAGGGCGAGCAGGCTCCTTGCCCAGAAGGTGCGTGAGGAGCAGGAGAAGCTGCTGCGGATGGCGTGAAGAAGGAAATCCCTTCCAAGACCCTCCAAACCTGGCCCAGCGCTGCATGCTCGGCCGCAGTAAGTACAGGTAAGCCGGGCAGGTAGGTCCCTTCGTTTTTCAAACCGGTGCTTTCCAGGCATTGCCAAAGAATTTAGAGATGCGCAGGACTTGAGCTAAACTAGGAAGAGGTCAACTCAGATCCAAAACAAGAGCAAATCAAGGAGAAAGTCAGCCGAAACTTTGGTTGGCTTGCTTTAGGAAGCTGCCTCTCCGCCTTCCATCATCCTCAACCTTTTCCTGGGAAGGTGCAGAGTGATGGTTTACCATACAAAGTAGTCGCTGGGTTGGGATGCCAGTTCAAATATTTTTCAAGGAGAACGTCTGCAAAAGAAGGACCGATTTTGGCTCTCCCCACTCCCAAGTGTCCGTGCTGCCTTACTCCCACCTCGCTGATCCCAAAAGCTGTAAATACTCCCTTTCACAGAATTTCACTGATGGATTGAAAGCCTCTAATTTTCTCTGCCCGAGGCGTTCTGATTTCAAGAGGCCCACATCAGAAAATCTGGCAGAGTGCAAGCCACTCAATATCTAAACAGATCCCTTTACCAAAGAAATTTGGTTTGTGTGTGCAGTGAATGCTGCCTTCGAGAGAACAGAACAGAGGAGAAGCTGAACCCTTTTGCAGCCCGAGGGCTGAACTCCAAGCTGGCAAATCTCCCAGGGGCTTCGTGCTCTCCGCGGATGAGCCAAAGGCAGAGGAGTCACAGTCAAACTCTGTTTCTTCCTCCTCCAAAGCCTTCTTAGCAGTAAGGAGGGCTGGATTGCTCAGCAGAGCTTCCAAAATAATGTCCCAGACGCCAAAACCCTGCCTGTCTATTTGGGATTGAAGAAGGCAAGTCTCTGCATGTTTATGCAGCTGAAAGGAGGACCGACAGGGCAGAATCAGCAGCTGCCTTCCTGGGTCATCTTGCTGGCAGAGGAACACTCTTATCTCCAATCAGCTCTTTGGAGATCAGAGCTTTCCTTTGCCAGGAGAGGGAGGCCTGCCAGGTGGGAAACCCTCATGGGTTGCTTTTGTCAGCAAATCAGAAGTTCCCCATGCCTGGGATAAAGGGAGAAAACTTATTCTATTTATGGCTTTTACACCCTGTCCACCTACTAGCGTCTTGGGACGGTTTCACAATAAAAGCAACAAATAAAATGCTAATAAAACTTAGGGATCTTCTGCAGGGGAACCAGGCAGGCAGCACCGATGGGATTCTTGTGTGGGCCCACCGTATAGCCCCTACTACCAAGAGTTTATTTTTATTATGTACCCTCCCGTCCTGTTTTGGCTGCATGAACCAAGACAGGGAAAGCTTTTCAACCTCCCCCTCTTCCTCCTCCGATGCTTAGAGGGAGCCATCCATGACTTTGCAGTTCCGGCCACTGCACTGCGCTTCTCAGGTCTATTTGCATGTGTCCAGAAACCAACGCAAGTCCTGAGCAAGTCCTTCAAAAGCTCACAGCTTTCCGCCCAACGTTCTCACCCACCATAAAGCCAGTAGATGCCCCACATCTCGTCCTGCGAAATGCGGTCCTTCCCCGTCAGGGTAGCGTTGAGGTGCATCAGGGCATTTGGGTCGTGCGAATGCATGAGACCCAGAGCATGGCCGATTTCGTGGGCAGCGATGTGGACCAGGTCTGTAAGCCAAACACCTGCAGAGAGAGGGGAGCATTTGGTTACAGCACAGGATATGGGAAGCTTCTGTGGATCACATCTGGATCATCGTCCATACGGCAGGAGCATTTCAAGATCTCAGGCTGAGAGGAGTTATTTTCCCACCATCTGCTCCCATGGGGATTGAATCCAGACCTTGTGCTTATGAAGCACCTCTTCCCAGAGTTACATGGCCCTTCCCACTTATCTTAACATTATTATTACACTGCATTTTATACCGCCCGTATAAAATGGTTCACCACATTTTAAGTCACCAATCCAGATTTCAACCAGGCCTGGCCCTGCTTAGCTTCCAAGATTAGGCAGGATCAGGCACTTTGGCTATCTGGGAGCTGCTAGTAACCAGAACTGAAATCTCAGCACATTTCCTGGAACTGCCCAGCAGTGCAACACTTCTAGCAACCTCAGAGGTGGGAGAGAACAGTCCAGTGTAACGGAGTGATTGAAGTCAGCTAAGTCAAATCAAGCATCTAGAAAAGTAGCATCTTATATTATCATCCAAGTCTATATTCAGAATATGAAAACAGCACCAGGGAACTTTCAGACCTGTGACCAAACCATTTAGCCGTACTTCATTTCTGGCAGAGGGGCCGAATCCTGCGCAATGCCCAGCCCTCGGTGATGTGCCCAAGATGAGTTGCAGATGTAGGCAGAGGTCTCCCGTTTTTAATCGCTTTTCATTTTGACAAGCACTCCCTACAAGTGATCTTGTTGTGTCAATTCACGCCGGAGGTGTTGTGCAATGGGGCATTCCTGCACAATCACGCCCCAAACCCGTTGCTATCTCTTCCTTAAAAGGCAATAGCTGGAAATTTTGTGGGACACATGGAAAGTCCTGCCGATCTGAGCCAAAGTGCTGATAGACTTCCCCAGAAGGGAGCCAGAAATTCTCCTTAACGAAACTTGGTCTGAGCTGAAAGTCATCATCTTTGCCTCCAATACCCTGGATGAGTCAGGTTCTGACCCCCTTCCCCTCACCTTCCTCTTGAAGCTTTCAGCCTGAGGTTTTCTTGAGAAATCTTCCCCGTTTTCTGGAATCAAATCCCCTCCATCTCTTTTTCGCAGCAGAATCCTTTAAACGTCTTTCTCTGATTTGCTGCTCTCTAGAAGTATTGGACTGCAACTCCCATCTGCCCCAGCCAGCAACCCCAATGGCTGTGAGTTGCAATACCGCAGAAAAGATGAATTCTACCCTAGGTGGAAGAATCCTTTAAAGACACTCCCTTTCGCAGGACATCTCTGAATTAACTTGCAAATCTATCTGTACAGATTTTTTTGTGACCTGGAGATGCTTCGTTTTGAGTGTGCCCTCAGGAGAAAAAGAGATTTTCTACCTACTGCTTCAGAGGAAGGATTTATAGAAGCCATACAACTACAGAAGAAAGAGAGAGGGGAAGAGAGAAATTTTAAGAGAACCAGGCCGTTCACAAGCGAGATGAGGCCATCCTTTGCTGCCCACGAAATGACCAGTGTGCTGAAAAGCTGATGACACACGGTCACAAAAATGTAAACAGCCCCTTGAAAAATCTATGTGATCCAGAGGGAAAAATAACGGAAAAACTTGATCGCACGCCTGCCTGGCACGGAGCCAGAAGAGTGAGTTATGCGTGTGTGCTTCGCGCAGCCCCGCTAAGCAGGGCTCTCCAGCCCAGATCCGGGAGCCACCTCGGGACCGGGAACATTCCACGTCGGCCAGCGGCTCACGTTGCAGCTGCTTCGCTTCCCCTGCCGCCCAGCCCTCAGGAGGGGGAGCAGCAGCATGCGGCCTGAGGAGGTCCGGTCCCAGGGAAACTCATCAGCCTGATGAGGTCCGGTCCCAGGGAAGGGAGGCCGGCGTGCACGGCGGCCTGAGGAGGTCCGGTCCCAGGGAACGGAGGCCGGCGTGCAGGGCGGCCTGAGGAGGTCCGGTCCCAGGGAACGGAGGCCCTATCAAATCGAGAACGCTTCCCGGGCTTGCTGCCCTCGGGAAGTGCTGGACGGCGACTCCCATCTGCCCCAGCCGGCATTGCCAATGGCGATGAGTCGCAGTCCCACAGAAAAGATGGACCCAGCAGATGAGCCTTGGTTTTTTGTAAGTCATCCAGAGACTTTTGCATTGGACGGCATATAAACACTTCAAATAAGTAAATAACCAATAAATAAAACAAGCACATTTGTGCCACGTATTCCATGCATGTCGCCTTTTTATGTTTTGCCTCCTGGTTCTGCTAGTCACTAAGAGGCACAAAACTACCAGCATCCACCCCCACCAATTAGAAATCTTTGATGCAGCAACCAGTGCTGTTCAGTGCTTTCAGGCATAGTTTGAGGGCTAGAAACATGTTTTTTAAAAAAAACAAAACAAAAACCATGAGGACTAGAAACATGGTTTTGAAAACAAAACCCTGAGAGCTGAATTCTGCTTCAATATCATATGCTGCTTATCCTCTGTATTCTTACAGGAGCCATGCCTGGGCATAAGCACCAATTATGGGCATCTTGGGGAAATATCTTGTTTGGAAAATCACATCGGTGGTGCCAAACATTATTCAAGCTGACACAGTGGCAGATCCAGGGCAGGGTTCTGGCCGGCAGTCCAAAATTTCTTGGTGGGCCAGATTCTACCCAAGGGTTGCACTTCCGGGCTCTTGCGACGCTTTCCACTTACCCTTTTTCCAGCTGAACCGTGTTTTCCCCAAAATCCAGTATTCGTGGTCATCAAAGTGGATTTCGCCATTCTGGGGGAAGAAGGCATGGGCCAGCTCCCCCGTTGTGCCATCAAAACACTGGTGGATGTCGGACTCGACGCAATCCGTGTGGTTTATGGAGTAAAAGCCTAGAAGCCATGCCAAGCAGAAACAAGCAAGGCGATCATAGAAGAACTTATGGAAAGGAAACCTTGATATTCTAAGCTCTGTGTGTATACAAAAAAAAAGGGATTTCTATCAAACTTGGGACTCTTTTATTAGTGGCTAGAGAAACGGGACTTCGTATAGATTTAAATCTGTTTTTAAGTTATCATAAATGGAAAAAAATGTGGGGGCTGACCCAGAAGGCCTGGTGTTTCTGATGATCGATGTTGTTCTTAGTTTTTCTTTGTTTTAGGGTAAATTTTGAATAAAACTTATAAAAAAAAGGCTGGCTAGGACCTGATAGCGGGTGTGGGCTTGGGTGGACTCCGAGGGATGGTGGAGGACCATGGGGCCATGACGGGTCGGGCACGACTTTGCAACTAGCAGCAACAAACACCTGATAGCGGATCTCTCTGGATTATTTTTACAAAATGCAGCGATTTTGGAATCAGCGATTTTACGACCACCGTACCTGACCGAATACCTTTCCACACCTCCCATGACCCAGACATTACACTCCTACACCTGAGAGTTCATTGCTGGGTGGGGAATTGTGGGTTGTTCATGGTTAACAAACCGTGGCTTGTTTGAGCAGCTGGGTCCAGACAACACGACAACCTATGCTCCAACAGCAAACCATGGTTCCATGACAACATAAACAGCTATTTACCACATTGTCTGAACCCAATTTGCATTTCAGAGTTTTCTGAAACATTCTTTCAGTTAGAGAAGACAATGCCGCTGAGCATCATCAGCTGGAAGGAGCTACAATTCCGTCTTGCAACACATACAACATCTCTAGACCAGAGACCCCGGACAGCTGCCACGTCAGGGCTGTTATCATTGCAAAATTCTTTGCGGTGAGACATATTTCCCTCCCTGGGGGTCTGTTTTCAGTCTAGCAATGGGCAAAAGTTGGAGCAAGACCATCCGGTGCTCATGTAGGAACAGCTTAATCCAGATGTTCTGGGTGAGGGTGCAAAGACAGCTGGTGAGCTGAGGATGAAAATTGCCCTCAGATGTTGCTCTGAGAATAATTGCAGCCACAGTGGAGAGAAGAAACCCAGCAAATGCACCTCCACCCCAAAACAAAGGCTATCAAACGATGACAATTTTGCTTTGTGGGCCGTAGTCACGGCTGGAGAGCGAGCAATTCGGCTGGTTTAGAGGAGCGATTGGACTCGAAATCTTGCGCCGACAATAATGCCTTGCAGGGGAAAACACTCAACTTTCTGAAGTCGAAGAAACCCTCCAGAGAATGAGCTTTCTTAGAGGAAAAGAGGAATTGGAGAAACTTGTGATAGTAAAGAGAGAGACCTGCAATAAAATGTTGCAGCGTAGGCCACCCTTATCTCGGTTCCAGCCAGCCATGCCCTTTCGCAGGAGGCTGCATCCCATCCCATTCACCACCCCCTGCCACTTCCCCAAGACACTCGGTGCTCGGTTGCTGCCGAACATAATCCTTTTCCAATGGTTCTTTTAGGGGGACTTCCACTCCCCCTAAGCTTCCCCCTTCCCACATGTCTGGAATTATCGGCAGAGAGGACGTCCTACCGATTTTCAGATCGCTGGCCTTGCTCGGCGGCACCTCCCGAAAGCTGAAGGGGGTGACATCGCTCCACATGCGGAATGCGGTGGCCAAGCCCTTCCTCGTCTGGCTCCGGCTGATGAAGTTCTTTGGGAAGGACAAGATTCTGCAGGAGCATCGGAAGCAAAATGAAAGGCCGCCGTAGGATAATTTGCACTCGTGTTTCGCCATGCTGGCATTTATTGGGTGCATGTGATTCCCCATGCATGGAATTTGGGGGGCCTTCCGTTCTAGACCTTGAAGTCACAGATATCTAGGTGGGAGAGATATGTTTGGGATGGGTGAGTATTGTGGAATGCTGGGAGTCTGTCGTGGGCACACTCACAAAATGGCTGCAGGAAAGGACGAGCACCCTGCCCGGAGCTCAGACCCAAGGCTGCCACCAAGCCAGGAGCAGACACGGGGACACCACAAGAAATGCCTCACGGAGGAAACTCCACAACCCTCTTGCTCTCCAAAGCCGTATGCTGGCACCTTTCCCCATCACCTGCAACCTCAACCTTTTTTAACTGGATGTCCCTGGAATCGAACCTGTGACCTTCGATTCCTTACACATGTGGATCTCCAGCTCTTTAGGACCGTTCTGAGCTTTCCCCAGAGATGCTAAAGTCCGATCCTGGGGCTTTCGGGCAATCCGAGAAGGGAACCGAGTGAAGTTTTCCCTATACACAAGCCTGTCATTGAAGGTTTATCATATGATATTATTTCAGCATGCGTTTCATTTCCGTCCTTGCTTTTCACCTTCTTCAGGTCATTCCCACTACATTCTATGCTCAAAACAACCCTGCAAGGTAGGCTGGGGGAGTGTCAGCGATACTCCCAAAGTCACCCAAGTGAGCATCTTTGCAGAATGGGGACTAGAACCCAAGTCTCATAGTTCCAGCCCAACACTCTAACCAGTAAGCAACACTACCCACAAGTCTGAATGGAGTCCTGCTTGGAAAAGGGAACCAAAGAGGAGCAAGGCGTGACTTGTGCATTCAAGCTCTGCAGAGAGAAAAGAGCATTCTTACTTGTACGTCAGGTTGAAGTGGTCCCACTTCAGCTCCCCTGGTGTAAGCGTGTAGCGCCTTTTCCGGGTGTGGGGATGAGGCGGGATCGGGAGGCCTTGGAGCGCCGTGGGAATGCCCTCAGGAAAACCAGGTGGCGCAAGATCTTCCTTAAAAGGCAGAGCAGTGGGTCAGGTGGCTTGGGAGCAACACACGGTGTTGCTTTCCATGATGTGTGTCCCCTTGCTAATGAAAACTTCTGTCTGTGTGCGAGACACACACACACACACACACAGAATTTTTCCCACTGATCTGGACGAATTCTTTTTCTGGAAAAGTCATCTGCTGTGGTGTGTTTTTTCAGTTCTTCCGATGACCTCATACGACTCGAACTTTACAGAAGTATTCCACTCTTTCTAGGAGTGACCGTTCGTACTTCTCGGGGACCCCTATGCTTGGCTTAAAACAACGGGGGATGAATCTTACGCTGCCTTAAACCTAAGCTTGATCCCTGGCTTACCAGGAATTCAAACACAAAGTCAGAACCTGAATGCTAGCTCACCAAAGAGTCTTATTTCTGAATCAGCTCGAGTCCAAACCAGAATCCTGAGAAGCAGAGACCAAACTTTAGCCAACTTAGAACCTGAACCCAAACTCTGGCTGGTAGTGCCCAATTTCTGGACTGAGCTTTGCAGTTCCTTTCGGACGCCGCTTTCCCTGCTTGCCATAGTTGGCAGCTCCCCACAATACAAGTAGTATTCAGCAGTACCAGTCACTGGCATTCTGGGTAATGCGTGTGCTGGAGCGCAGCCATCCTAGGGCATTCCCGGGCCGTTTCGAGCCAGCATGCTCTCCTTGAACGGCAGGGAGCAGACGAGCAGCTCTGGGCCGGGGAATCCCAGCATCCCAATTCAGCATCCCGTGGGATCCGAGCATCCCAAGGACGGCAGGCCTGTGTGTGCAGGTTGGTGCAGAAGAGACGTCCCACAACGGGATGCTGGGAGTTGAAGGACCTTTTCTGTCCCGGCCTGCCCAGGCCTGCTCCCTTGCATGTTCCCCAAAGGCAATCAACAGCCTCTTATTTGGCCCAGGAAGCTCCTGATCCTGCCTAATCCTGGCAGCTAAGCAAGGTCAGGCCTGGTCAGAATTGGGATGGGTGACTTGTGTGTAAGATTCTATGACGATGGCTGTAAACTGCCCAGAGAGCTTTGGCTATGGGCAGTATGATAATAATCTAATAATAATAATAATAACTTAAGCCTACTTGGATTCTACATCTAGAAGCCCTACTGACCTACCAAAAGTGCAATCTTTGGATTACCTAGAACCTGATCTCTGGCTTACCTAGAGTCTAAACAAAAACTTTAGCCTACCTAAGTCTGAACCTGAGTTCTAGCCTATGTAGAGTCTACTCCCTGGCCTACCCAGGCTCCAAGTCTGAACCGAACTCTGGCGTACCTGGAGCCTGATGCCTGGCTTACCTGGAGCCCACACCTGGCCAGCTAGAGTTCTTCAGAAGTCTCTCACCACCTCTTGTCTTCTGACTGCCAGTAGTTTCAACTGAGCTGAAAAAATCGCCCCGTCTCTCAAGGACACACCTATTTGGAAGACGGACTCCACCGGTCAGACCTAGAGCTCCCCAGAAGCAGAGCTCATGGTGAAGGATGCCGAAACATCTGGAGGACCACAAGTGGCCTACTCTTGCAACCAATAGGAAGACTGCAGTTTCCCTCAAAGCATTCTGGGATCTGTAGTTTTTTCAGGGGCATCTGAAACTGACATCAAGAGATCCGGGAGGAAGGTGCCTTTTCCAGCCAAATGGCGATCTCCTCCATGCGTGGGAAGCAGGCTCTGACCCTTCGAAGGGAAGAGGCACCGTTGAGCCGCACCCCAGACTCGTGTCCGGCATCCCAGCTCTTGGACGGAAGATGCTAATTAGATGGACTTAGGAGTGAAGCCAGGAGCTAAGCTGGCCGGCCTGACATGCTGCACCTAAACACCTTTTGTGAGCCTGGTTTCCCAGTCCGAGCAGCTCAAATCAGTTGGGTTTCTCCTGCCACATCGCACCAGGCTGTGGAAACAGATCCAGCTCCTGGCCTTGCAGCTTTTTCCAGGAAAGCCTTGCCAGCCAAGAAGAAAAAAATGCCAATTAATTACGGCTCTCCCTTGATGGACTGCCAAGCATATCCATGTGGCATTTCGGGTTGCCAGGTCTCTAGCTATATCCTCTGATTTTGGGGTCCGTGCCCAGGCAGGACGCCTAAATCTGTGGCAGCTCGGCTTTGAATCGCAGAGTTTTGCAGGGCAGTATTACTTTTGGAATTGCTCCTCTCTGTGAGCAGGGCACACACGCTCTTCGTGCACAAAAGTGTTCTCTTGGAAAGTGTTTTCAAAAGTGACTTTCCTGCGCATTTCCATCTTGGAAAAGATAAGGGCAACTCCATCCAGTTAAAAATCTGCACCCACCCTTCCTGCCTGGAGACTCCACTTCCCCTGGATTTCCAAATCTGTAGTTCAGAATTGGTGCTTTTTTTTAATCTCTGGGGCAGATCCCTGAATCTTTGGCACAGAGAACAACAACTTTTCAAGAGTTATTTGTGGTTCCCTGAGCCCCAAACAGTGGAAAGTTTCCCCAAATCTACCGCACTTTCTGTTCCCTTTCCCTAGGCCAGCCTTTCCCAACTGGGCCTCTCCTTCCTGGCTGATGGGAATTGTAGTCTCTCCTCCCCACAACTAAGTCGTGCTGCTGTTGCATCCCAAGAAGTCGCCTTTTAGAATGTGGAAAAGAGGAGAAGCAGGAGCCCTGAATTTGGGGGGCGGGTACCTGGCCCCCTCTCCACGCCATCCATTTCAGCACTAGCTGAAATAAAGGTCCAGGGCACTGAAGTTCTCTGCTACATCTGATCCCCACGGAGGAGCTGGTAGGCATGACATGAGTGGAGCCGGCTGGAGCTGGGGGTCAGACTAGATGGCACAGGAGGCCCCTTCTGACTCCCTCTGCCTCTCTGTTTTGGTGCCCACGGGCTTCCCCCTTCTGCTGTCCCCCCACCCAAACCTCTTGACCTGATTCTGAAATCTGATGTCTTCCCTGTCTAGACATCCATTTTTACAAAGGGGGGGGGGTGTCCTAGGAGACAGGGTCCTTTAAAAGCTCAACAGAGAGAGACTTCAGAGCTTAGAACAATCAGCGTGCGCGAACTGGTGCTTTTTTAATCCTTGGGCATGACCCCTCCTTCGTGGTACAAGTCGCTGAGCTGGGCACCCAGATTCACGGACCCGGCAGCCTCAAATGACCCGATTGAATGGGTGTAATTTCCTGGAGCGTCCCAAGAGCTCGTTAAAGGGCACACCAGTCGGGGAACTGCCAATCCTGGGTCATTCCAAGCCCTTCTCCTGCCCGTTCTGCTAGCTGGAGGTCTCCCTGAAGGGCTTTTGTTGGCGGGTGGCTACTGAGCAAAACATGCCTGCCAGTTGGGGAGTTAAAAAATAGATTCCACAAGGATGGGAAAAGTTTAGGGATGGAAGGGCTCAGATCTGTGCTGGCTGAGGCATTTTTCTGTCTCAGCCTGACATTTGAGCATTTGTTCTGTTGCAACAAGAACAGAGCCTTTTCCGGTGGCTTAAAAGTCTTTGCTTGATTTGTTAAACTCATCAGAAGTTCTGTGTTGCTATGAATGTTTTGTGATTATGTTCTATTATGTTTATTTAAGAGGTTTTGAAAGTGAGCTATGGCATTATGTATCTGCATAATGTATGTTAATATATGTTTGCCCATGGCTACTCACAACTAAGCCCATTGCTAAATTCAGTTGGACTTACTCCCTGTGAATGAGTTCAGAACTGCATGTAAATTTTTAAACCCTCTCCCACCCAATGAGATAGCAGCTGGCAGAGATCCAATTCTGCAGCTGACTAGCTAGAAGGACCCACTCCTTGCTTTTGATGACTGTCTTTTTAAAAGGTTTTGGGGGCATCGCAGACACCCCTGATTCCAAGCTGCAAATCAAACTGACATTCTTGCAAAATTTTCAGTGTTCTTTCTCCACGGAAGGAAACGATCCTTAAAACTCTCTTCACCAAAGGTAGTGAGGGATGAAATACTGTGCTAATCAAGACACATGCTCCTGCCAAAGCATTTCTTCATAAGTAGGTCAAAAGTCTGACCTCGCTCCCAAACTGAGAGGAGTGTGCAGCCTGCATGAGCTGGAAAAACCGAAGGTTGTTGGGCCAATATTCATCTCCTGGGATTCACTCTTGGTTCCTCTTCCCACAATGACGTTTAAGAACCACCAAGCAAACTTGCTCAGAATTAGCAAGTTTGCAAAATTGCAAATTTGTCAATTTGCAAAATCTTGTGCACAGGAGGGTTTTTTTAAAAAAATATATATATACCAGAACTGCACAGAAAGCAGATTTCTTCCATGCAAAAATGTACTTCTGGCAATTCCAGTGTTTCCTAATTTAGTCTCCAGAATGTGTGTGTGTGTGTGTGTGTGTAGCAGATCATTTTGTTGTTGCAGGAGAGACAAATTCAGACAAATCCTGAATTTATAGCATTGCAACCATAACATCCGTGCAGAAGGACAACAAAGGGGTTGTCAGTGGACTCAGAAATATCCAGACTCATAATTTATCTTGGAATTGAATGTTCTATAAAAATAAGCTCATGTTTTGAAAACTGGCGCGCACACACAATTTCAGTCTGCTATCCAAGCACATTAGGGTCTGAAAAGCACGGCTCTCCTCTTTTTCCGAGGTCACCAGTGTGAGGCTGTGCATCTCACCAGTGTGAGACTCTAAAGTCTGCACATGGGTCTCTGTTTGGGTATCTTTCAGGGGTCTGTGCAAGAATCAAACAGGGAGGTATAAAGGGAATTAATCATATGCAAATCTGTGCAGAAGCAAACCCAATCTGTTCAGCCTAGCTTACTCCCAGGAAGTGTGCATAGGATTTCAGGGTTAACTTCCCAAGAATCCTTTTCTCTCTTCAGCCAGGACTTGAAAAATGAAACAACCAAGATGCAAAACTTGGAAGATTTTTCTCCTGCAGCCCTATGTGCAGGGATGGAACTGCCAAATTCACATTCTTGAGCACTTTGGAGAAATGTCAAATAACTGAGCCGGATGTTATTGCTATTGTAAAGAGCTAACAACATCAATGGTTGTGTTTCGAACTATTTTGAAAATCAGATGTAAATATAAAAGATGCCTACTCCATCCAACAGCAAGACCCAACACAGAAGATGGAATGGTGGTATCTAATAAGACTTCGAATCAAATCCCAGCTTGGACTACTCATCATTTCTCAGCCTAACCTCCCTCACAAGATTGTTGTGAGAATAAAAGTGGGAAAAGGCAGAACTACAGACATCAACTCTGGGGAAAGAGGAGGTCAAAATACTTGAAGGGGGAAAGTAGCTTCTTACCTGAGTTTGCTGTTCATCTTTCCCAAGTACATCTCCAAAAGCAGCTGATAGAATGAAGAGGGGGAAGATGTACAAGAAGCATCGGTAGGTCTGCTTTTTCGGCGTGTCAGCCGGTAGGCAAAAAAGAGAGATCCCCGTGGAGAGCCGTTCATTCTGCTGCATGGCTTCTTTTAATTAAAGCAATATGAAGAGGAGGAGGAGAGAAGAGAGAACAACAGTGCATCCAGATAGAAAGTAAGAGGCTTAACTTTCTCGGGAGTGGGATACAGGGCTTCCAGCACCAGCAAACTTTGCTGGAAATTCACAAAACTAGGGGGTGTTTTAGGTAAAGGAAAAAAAGAGCAAATGAGACTGGAGACTTACATTAAACCTCTGTTTGACATGCCAAGCATTAAAAGTTCAAAAAAAAATTAGAATGCAGTCCATGCCAAACTGTATCATATTACTGGGACTCTGTTAATAGAAGAGAGAAAGAGGAGGAGGAGAGAGAGAAAGGAAGCAAAGGAGGGTGGGCCAGTGGGGTACCCAAGCACTGTACAGCAAAGCAGCTGTGCTGATGGAAGGGATATAACATAGCCAGATGTTCTTCCACAGCTGGATAAGGGAGTGTGCAAATTTATGCAAAACAAAACAAAATCCAAACCAAACCCCCTAAAAAAAAAAAGAAGAAGAAGAAGTGGAGGGAGGAAGGGAAATGGTGGAGTGGAATCCAGAAGCTCAGTCTTGAAACGTCTCCTTGGCATATGCCACCAAAAGGGATGTTCTATGTTAGGGAACGATGCTGATTGCAAACAGACGGCTTTTAGGAGAGTAGAGGGATCTTTTGAGGGTGGAAAGAGTTTCTGCTGGAGGCTCTGCCCTTTTGGTTTCGAGCATGTGTAAAACCATTTTGTCGAAAGGGTGGACAGGATCCTGCAACTGGCTCGCTCTTTGAGAGGGCAGGAGCCCTAGAAAGTCTCCCACCTACCCCTGAATCCTGATGCCAAACTCACTTATGGACAAAGATCGGAGGAGCTAGGATAAGTTCCTGGATGATCGACAGCTTTCTGGCTCTTGTCGGCTGAACAAGATGGACCAAAAAAGCTTTCACCTTACTCCCCTCTAGGTTGGCCTGCTTAAGTTGAGAAAACTCCGGAAAAAACAGGAATGGGGTGTGTGTGATAGAAAATGGGGGAAAGTTGTGGTCCGAGATCACCATTCCAGAAGGTCCCCACACTGGCTCATCAGAGAGGAGGTCAGAAGATGAGAAGGAGTTAGCCTCAGCAAGTGAAAGTGAAAAGCAGTACTGTCTAGTGGTTTGAGAAGCCATCGGCCAACCCATAGTTTGGATTTCGGCTTCCAGAAGCCCCAGCCAGCATGTCCAAAGGTTAGGGACCCTGGGTGTTGTAGTCCAAAATAACTGGAGCCATGGATGGGGGACCTTCTCAGTCCGAGGGCCGAATTCTTGGGAGCTGCATTCCCGTGGTGGGTGGGCCCTAACGGAAAGGGGGAAGGGCCAAACATGCAAATACCATTTGAATGCATTTTCTAGCTATAATGCCAGCCTTGGGAGAGGCATTTTGGCCTTTGGGCTTGAATTCCCCCTCAGGCATTGCTCCCTTCCTCCCGGATGATCCTGGGCCAGCCAAAATCTCTCAGGGTGCTTGTAAAGGTCAAAGGGAGTAGAATTTGTAGATCCCCCTGGGGTCCTCAGCATGAGATCAGCAAGGTCTTGGCACCAAGCCTCCCTGGTGGATTTCCTTATGGCAGGTTGATTGGGCAGTTCCATCACCAGAAGGGCAGGACGGATTTCGAACCACCCTCAAACTCTTCCCACAGAGCTCTGGAATTTCTTTATTGCTTCGTGCTTTACCTGAAAACAAGTCCTGAAGGAGTGACTTCTGGCCATCATTTTAAATATTAGAATTTTCTGCATTTTTTTCTGGAGCAGAAGGGAAAAATGGGGGATGCAGTGTGGCCCGTTGGAGCTACTGCAGGTACCCTTGGAAGCTGGATACTGCTAAGACAAGCTGGAAAGGTGAGACAAAATTAAGCCCTAGCATCAGACAGGGAATAGAGGCGATATCGTGGAAGTGCTGATGTAGGGCAGAGGGAATAGGAAGGAGCAGAAGCCTCGGACTACCTCCCCCATCCCCTTGAGGATCAGCACTGCGAAGCTGGCCATGAGCATCCCAAATCCACATTTAACGGCTCTCTTCTTGGGACAAGGAATGGCTGCAGTTGTTTTGCAAGGGGGAGCCGTCTTCCTTCCCCCCAGCTTTGCTCTGGGTTGGACTGGGTCGCACATGCCAAGGAGCGGGTGGGCTGCATTCTTGCACACTGGTGCAGAGTTTCTTGGAAAGTGTGCTGTTTATTCCCCTTGCACTTTGGGGCGCGGTGGATGGGAGCAGCTCCGAACGCTTGTGTGCTTCCAGCCCAGGGAAGCAAGCTGTGTACTCTGAACCGGACGGGGCCAAAGAAAACCTCCGTTGCCATGGCAGCTGACCTAGCAGCCAGGGATGAAAAGAAGGATCGGCTGGGGACGCCTGTCTTACCGTGGGCCTGTGGAGATCCGACGTTTGAAAACAGGCAGAGCAGAAGACGCCGGACTGAAGTCTTGTGCGCCCATTGAATTCCATGGAGCCTTGTGCAGGCTCAGAATCGTGGCCTCAAGAAGACTTATTGGGGGGCAAGTCCCACTGAAGATGCTGAGAAGCAACATCCAAGGAGAAGTTTTTTCAAAAAAGGAAAAGTACATGGGATCGGATGGAAAACCAAACAGGAACCCTTCAGCTTCACTCCCTTGCCAGGTGCTCTAAAAAATTTGCAACCTGCAGTCTAATAACCAGGAACTGAATTCAAATCCTACCCAGGGCCTTGAATGAGTTAGAGACCAAAATCCTCGGCACACGAGCAGAGTTCAAATACTGTACAAGTCTGAACTACACATCTTGTAGATGATAATGATGAAGATGAAGAAGAATTACCATGAACTTACCACCTGTTGTGGCCGAGCACCTCTGGGCAGCTCATAAAGCAGAACCCTGAGGTCATCAGATTGACTGCAACACTTTGGTCACATGGGCGAGGGCCTTTACAACCATCATAAGGACTAGGAACTTGTTTAAATGAAAATGGGCTTTCATCGTAGTGCCTACTATGCCCGAATTCCATGCCGGAGCAACATTCGCTGCAAAGAATGGAAAACAGACGGCCCTGTCCTTAACTAACCCATGACATCTCTTTCTCCATCGTGTGTGTTTTACTCTAAAAAGAAATTTGCTGTGTTTACATGCTTTGACACCGGGCCACAAAAAATGGTATTATATAAGCAGCACAACTACCTATTCTTAATTCTTTCATTTCGAACGAGAAGGGCTTTTTACCAGTTCTCACATCTGGCTGTTTGACTTGGCTGAGTTATCGCGGATCCTTGAATTTGACTCAACCTTGGACTCCGAAGTGGGAAAATATTCCTTGCAGCCTGGAGTGGCTTTTTGGTACCAAGTCAAATGCTGCAAGGGCAGAACAGGGAAGCCCCTATCGAATGATGTGAGAAAACCAAGCCTGCAAGCTCAGACTTATCTTCTTGTACAGACCCCTGGGGAATACCCCGCCGTTCTGGTTTGACAAAGGGCAAATGTATTCGCCAAGGGTCGAAATAAAGGCACAGGGGTACTGAGAATGTCAGTTTCTTCTAATGCCCCTGGACGAGCCGGCTTTTTGTCTTTACTTCTCTGCCTCCTCCTCCTCAAACCTTTCTGCCCGATTTTCCCCCCTGAAATCAAACACTCTCTTCTCCTCTATATCCATTTCCCATGCAGACTTCGAGGCATATGGGAATTAAGATGTGCAAACAGATGCTTTTTTCCACCCTGGGAGCTCCAGATGCAGCCCCGTTTGGTTCCAAGAGCGGATCCTTACATGGGGAAAACAAAACCATCCGCTTGCCAGAGGGAAGTATGGAGAAGCCTGGTGCAGCCCCAAGGTCTGAGGAAGCAGAGAAAAATCTTCGGGGGAGCTAAACGAGGAGGGAGGGCGGCCAAGTATGAGGCCGAACTAAGCATGTGCATCTTTATGTGCGTGAGGAATGCTTACTAAGCATCCTGGAAAGGCAGGCAGGGCCAAGAGGAACCCGGCGGAAGGAGGCGATTATGTCTGGCTTTTCCACAGTGCTGATGAGCTTTGAATGTGCTCTCTCCTCTAAGCCTCCTTTACTTTTCTAAGCCTCCCATCGGAACGAGAATACAAGCTCCAGAGGAGGTGCCGGGCATGAATAGAAGCAAAGGAAAGGTGCCAAGCCAGGGGGATCAGGCGCCAGAGAAAGAGACTTTGCAGCTTCATTTCAGCAAGTGCCCCCGGACAGCAGCGAGATGGGGAAGGAGGCCGTTTCAGGGCCATCACCCCCCCCCCTTGTAAAATTTTGTGTCTGGAGTAGGGAGATGGCACAATCAAGCTTAATCCAGAAGTACCCTTAAACGCTGATGTCCAGAATGATTCCAGTGAAGTCTGTTCAGAACAGAACAAGTAGAGTGAGCTAGAAGGGGCCTCCCAGGCCTTCTAGTCTGACCTCCGGCACCAGCTGGCTCCGCTCACGACATGCCCGCCATGTGCACGTCCAGCCCGACCACGGTTGTGTCTTGTGATCCAGGCATTAAACAGCTCTCTAGGACCGCATTTTCCTTTTTGGCTACTGCATCCCATCGTCTAAGGAAAAGGGGCAGAGATGAAACGCTGCTATGAATGCAGGCTAAAGGAGGGGAAACCCAGACCTAAAAACACATAGCAATGTTCTTCCACCACCACCAGAATGCCTAGAATGTCTCTCTTTGCGGAACAAGATGTACCGGAGAATTAAACGTGCCCACAACTCACACACACACACATATTTTGGTAACAGCAGCAAACCCTAAAAAGGGGCTGAAGAACAAAGATTCCACATTTTTAAGTGTGCGTGACAAGGAGAGGGAAAACACATAAAATAGACTCAAGGCAGTTTTTTTTTCCTGGTTCACAGTCCTAAAGAAGAAGATGCACTCAAAACTTGGTGCTGCAGGAGAGCGTGCCAATATTTCGGACAGAAAGACAAACACCTCGTTTAATCTGGTGTCCTGCATTGAGCAGAGTGTTGGACCCAACGGCCTCCTGACCCCTTCCAACTCTACTGTTCTATGATTTTATGATTTGTGGCAGCCATTTTTCCAGGACAAGCTCTGGCTTGATTTAATCCAGAACTCACTCGTTCATCTTTCTGTCTCAGGTATTTATAAGGCTCTCCTCCAGCACCACGTTTCGAAGGCTTCGGTTTTCTTTGTCAGCTTTTCTCGCTGCCGAGTGTTCACACAGCGATGGAACATGGTGGGGATGCGTTTGGCCTTCGTCTTACACTTCAGGATCTTCCTTAATGGCATAAAAACAATGGAAGGCACACACGGCTTTTTCCTCAAACAAGCTCTAGGAACATTTTCTGTCACTCTATTGGAAGTTAGTCCGTGAAAGTTTAATTATCCGTGGAAATAATGGCAGATCCAGTCACAGCTCATGGATACTCACCTGGGAATTATGCCTAAGCTAACACACCTACGCACATCTTTTTATCCAATATGCCTCTAAGTCCACATAGGCCTTGAACGCCTTGCCTGAATTAAAAACTTGGAAGCCAGCGCCTGACACACCACAGCTGGTGGAGCTTCCAAATCCATGGGAAGTCCAGACAGACTAGCAAATTCAAAAGGCCACGTTCAAAAGATGATGGCTTGCCCTCGGGTGCCGGAGATGGCTGCACTGGCGCGGAGTCACAGAAACCAGCCAGGCGAGGTTTCTGCAAGTCTCTCTCCAGATGCGCAGCCTGCCAGCACTGCAAGGCCGCGGTCGCAGCTCCCTGTTCTAGAAAGCTCACCAGAGTGGAAAAAGAGCCATACAAACCACCCGACCTGAACTGTGTCTTTGGGTGCCCTTGATGCATCGGAGGACAGGATCCACTCTGGCACACCGTGGGTTTTTCTCTTCCATAAAACCTGCCAGGGAAAGAGTTCTCCTTGCTTTTGCTTCACAGAGTGCTAACTTTGCCTTCCCTCGCCCTTCACAGCTGGGCCGAGACAGGGAGCAGTGTCTCCAAGGGTTCTCACTGCCGGCGTGTCTTGCCTCTTGGATCAATGGAAGAACCATGGTGCGAAGCAGAAGCTGGGAGGAAGAGAGCTCCTAAAACCAGAGTGCTGTCTGAACAGGCCTGCAAGACGCTATAAGACGCTCCTTATATGCCCAGCCGCCCCCTGAGATCGGCGGGAGAGGCCCTTCTCCGGGAGCCCTCCATGGAAGAAGTTAGGAGGGTGGTTACTCGGAGGAGGGCTTTCTCAGCGGTGGCGCCTAAGTTATGGAATGCGCTCCCCAGAGAGGTCCGCCTGGCGCCGTCGTTATTTGTTTTTCGGCGCCAGGCGAAGACCTTTTTATTTAAGCAGTATTTTAAATGTTAATATTATTGAATTTTATTTGGCCAGGGCGGCTTGTTTTATAGTGTATGTTTTATATTATATATTTGTATTTTATTGTATATATTTTAAAATGTTATTTTAATTTTTTGTTGTAAGCCGCCCCGAGGCTTCGGCGAATGGGGCGGCATAAAAATGTTTTAATAAATAAATAAATAAATAAATTAAAAGCTGCAGGTGGTCAAACTGGTCCAGGGTGGCCTGAGGGATGCTACTGGAATGACCAATAGCTTCTTCCCCATAAATTAGTCCTCAGCAACTGATATTTGGGGATACACTGCTCCTGACCCTGGGGGCTCTACTTATCTGCTACAGTGAATAGACTTGGTTTATACGCCTCTCCTCTCTTCTCCAATCCACCTTAGCTGCCTTCACTCGTTTGCCTTACTGCTGCTTATGGCTTTTTCCTGGGCACAATCTCTTTTTTTTATGAGCAACTCACAGCCTTCCTGAACACTGGCCGTGGTGGCTGGGGCTGATGGGAACAGAAGTCCCCAAACCTTTGTAGGGAGCCAAGTTGGGCAAAATACGTTCTAATGCGTTCGTTCTCTTCCACTTAGGATATGCAGAGCTACAAGGGAATGCTGGACAGAATGACCTATAATTCTCAACATTTTTTCTGACTGAATTTGTGCAGGACCGCACCATCAGCGTGACGACAAAGGCTGCCCATTCCTTGCAGTCTTACACACTCACCTGGAGTCACTTGACTCTCACCTGGAGTCGCTTGTTCACAACCCCATCAGAATTTCGAGAGGCACCTTTGGCTAAGCTCGGACTTTCGGTTCCTCAGTGCACCGCAGGTAAGCCAAGGGTCGGGGTGGCTTGCTGGTGTTTGTTTCTCTCCCCTTGGCAGCTGGTTGACCAGTTCTCCGATTCCTTAACACGCAGCATTCTCTACAGACAGAGCGCTGGTCACTCGCTCGGGCTTGCCAGCTCGCAGATGCTGCCAAACCAGAGCCGTGCTTCCGAAACCACACATTCGGGGCTTAATTCCTGAACTGCATTTTACAGTGCGTGTGGAGTGAGCAACTGAATGCAAAGGCAGTGTCAGGCGATTGCTCCACAGGCGGGAGCACCAAATCTTTTTCCTGAAATCAACGCTTTTTCTCCCCCATCCATGCATCCCCTTTTACAAATCGGGCTGTCCTTCGGAGACTGTTCCTTAAAAACACACACACACACACACACACACACACACACACACACACACAACACAGAGTACATAAATCAGTATATGCACATTTGCACCATTTCTATTCTTCGGCCCTGAACGCCGCAACTTTTTAATACTCAGCATCACCCATGTACAGAGACTCTCAAAATCTGCCAGCCAAAACCAGAAGTTTCCTTTCCCCACCAATTCTGACTTTTATTGCAATTTCTCAAACTTTTTTTTTGAAACACACCTTGGCTGGAGAACGGACAACTGCTTTGGGCGTTACGAATCCAAAACAACAAGCTGTGAAAAAAAAACACTCAATAGAAGAATACTTCATTTGCCAGGGCAGCTTTTACCACAAAGGCAGACACGTTTCTCCTCACACTCGCTGAATGTCGTCCGTGTCTGCTTCTTATATCAGAGCCCGCCGATGGCCCAGAAAGTCCGGCGGTTCTTTAATCCCCACCCCACAAAAGAGTGTGGTTGTTTGTGTACACTTGCGCTGGATCAGCCCTTCTGCTGAAAGGAAGGTGCCCAAATGAAACCCTGCCTTTTTAAAGTGCAGAAAATATTGCTTTTCCACAACGGAATGAAACTTGCCAACTTTCGAAGGTCATGTGTTTCTCCCACACAACTAAAGGCTTCATACCAAAACCTACAGTCTCCAACCAGTCCCTGTTGAGTCGGCTCTGCATCTCACCTGTTGTAGTTAATACCGAGAGAAAGAAAGCAGCAAAGGGCGACTTGGCCCCTGCTGAAGCCAGCTTTCCGTACACACCCCTCGCCCCTTCTTTTAACGCACCAGGGCAGCTGTGATTCTGAACCAAAGAAAAGGGAAACGAACACGGATCAAAAAATGCGTTTCTGGGGGTGCTGGCGAGCTGCGGGGATGCAGAGTCTGAAAGAGCGACTCTCAGACGAAGATGTGTATCCTTTCGCGGATAGTCTGTCGGCAAATGGGGCAAACGTCCAGGGCTGTGCCGCACTCCTGGCACGAGCCGTGCCCACACTGGAAGATCAGTTTGATTTGGTTGTCGATGCAGATGGGACACGTGATACGCTCTTCCATCTGCCGGTAACGGTTCTGCAGGTCCTCCATGAGTTTTTTCTGGTCCGTCGTTTCCGAACAGGAGCTGCACTCCACCTCCGAGCTATCTGTGAAGGGGAATTGGGGAGCCGGGCAGTTACAGGCCTGAAACCTTTAGCCTGACCGAACGCTGCAACAAACTGTTGCAGTACAACCTGCCTCCTTACAGAAGCACACCTCTCCCGGGTTCCAGTCGTTTTTCTTTTTTAATTCTCACTGCTCGACCTGATGAAGCAATGCTCACTTTTTGTGAGTGGTGCCTTAGCCTCCCCACAAAAAAAAAGATAATATTGGTACTTTTTTGTTCCCCTGAGCATGCCAGAATCTCCCTCTTGTATCTCAGGGCCCTGTTTGGCCCACAGTTGTGTCGGCAGTAGGAAGAATGAGGAATTTATTCAGGGATGGGAATCTGTTGGACTCCTGGCTTAGCTTCCAGACTCTGGTCTACTTTGCAGCAGCCCAAGCCCAAGTTCCTGGTGGTTTTGCCCCACATTTGTGGGGTGCTGGCTGGAAACTGAGCCCCACATGACTATGGCACAAGCAGGGACCCTCATCCACACCAGCTGGCGCAGGGAGAGACCTGCCAATCCCTTGCTTCTGTCTGATTTTTCCAGCTGCTTGGAAATGCTATGCATCAAACCTGCAACTGTTTAAATGCAAAAATGCAGGCATCCTTTCAGCTAAAAGTTCCCCCCTCCAACTTCTAGGAAGATTCTACATTCGGGGCCTTTAAAAGTTGGGGGACCAGCGAGAGAAAGCAGCAGGGCCAAGCTGACCTTGCTTTAGCTTCTTGGCAATCGTCACTTGGCATTTGATGCATTTCTTCATTCTTCTAGAACACTCTGCAGACAAGGATGGGGCAGGAAAAGAGTTGGAACATAAAGAGATTCACTGTTAGCACTTCCACTTCACCACGGTTTATTTTGTTTCCTCTCAAAGAAAAAGAAATGCATTCGATTAAATGGAGTGTGCACAGATGTACAGCTTAAAGCAAGCAGAAGTGTTTTCCCGAAACGTGAAAATAACTTCTCTGATGTTGAAAGCCGGAGAATAAATGAATGAATAGTAATGCATTTCTAGCCACCTTTCTTCCTCTTACAAGGGACCTTGGCAGCCTTCCCTCCAGCCAGCCAAGAAGCCCAGACGGGGCGTAGAAAATACACCCCCATGGGGGGGGGGGTGAGGTCCCTTCCCTCCCGCCTTCGCAGCTAAGCTCAAAAATTCCTCTTTGCGGCGCATGGATTCAGCTACATGAGCTCCTTAGAACTCACTCCTTAGTGCAACAGGACCTAACAGAAAGTAGATTTCAGAAGTATCTGGATTAACCAAGGCCCTCCCCTTCCCAGGAGCCAAAATCCCAAAAACTAAGCCTTCAGGACAGTTCCTTAATCCGGAGAGCCAACCATCTGGACCATCTTGCTTCTCACTGGCCTTCCTCACCCTGCGACCAGCCATACCCTCAAGATCTAGCACATTTCCCTTCCCGCTCCTCTGCAGAAGCCCCCTGGGCTCTCCCGGTGTCGGAGTGGCTCCCTCCTCGTCCCTCAGCTTTTGGTCCCTGGCTCTGCTTTCTCCTGCTGCATCAGAAGCAATTCTCATACCCTCCTGAGCTAAAGGGCCTAGCGCAGGGGGAGCGGATACCTTCGCACACGATGCTGTGCTGGCAGGGGACGAAGCAAATGAGGACCGCCAGCTCTGAGCAGACCAGGCACTCCGAGCGGGCCGCCACCTTGGTCACGCTGAGGTTGGTCATAGTGTTGGGGGTTGTGTGAACTCGTCTCAGGCTGCGGGTCATCGTGGAGGCCTCGGAGCTGTCCTGCTGCTCCCTGGAGCCACCAAAACGAGAGAGACACAGAGAAAACTGGAGCTGAACGTACGTTCTGGGAGCAGGGCCTTTTTGGGGGCTGCACCATCCTTCTGGAACGTTCCCCTCCTGGTCAAGGTCTGGCAGGGGACCCTTCTTTGGTCTTTCAGGGACCAGGTTAAAACCTGGCTCTTTAAAGCCTTTGTCTTAATTGATTTGAATGCACTCTTACATCCATAGGATGATTTTTTAAAAACTATATTAAATTATGTATTACAACCCAAGCTCCTGTTCCGGGTGAAATACAAGACAGAAATCATTAATTAAAAAAAGGAAACCGTCAGCTTTAGTCTGCTTTAGTCAGTTTGACAAGAGCATTGAACCTCAACGTACACACAATTAAAAAGTCAATTAGCCGCCTGCTCAGGAATATTCAAAGCCTGCCTGAGGAGCGATACAAAGCTGGCCTGGAAGAGCTAAAAAGGGCAGCGAGGCCCCGTCGTCTGGCAGCGTTCGAGTGCTGTTGCCATCTACTGCCAAGAGGGGCTCCTCCCCAGAAGTCTGTCTGCCCAGGACCCCTTCAGGCTCGACTCTGGCCCCATGTCCTATCCTGGGACTCCCAGGGAAAGCTGGAAGCATCTGCAGGCACTCCGATCAGGGCAAGAAAGAGATAGGAGCAGGTGTGTCCCGATGGCTGGAGCCTTCCACTGGAACCATAGGAGGATGTTGTCTCAGCAGAGAGCTAAAGCCAAGAGGTAGACCAGCCCTCTCTCGGAGGAGAAGGGAGGACTGCTAAAGGGCCTGAGCATTCTGCAAGGCTTCCAAGGTGGGGGTGCCACCACGGACTCATCATTTCAGCTGAAGGAGGAGGACGGAGCTGATCAAGAGCACCTTGAATAAACCCCTCCCGGTCCTACCCAGGAAAGCAGTCTTGGAAGGCCCGTGGTCCGCAGCCATGACACCCGGCCCTTAAAAATGGGGCAGATGCCCCGAAAACACGCGACATAGCCCAACAAAGCAGAGAGAGGGCAGGGCTGGCCTTACCTGAACTTCTGGGCAAAGTTCTTGATGAGCAGCAGGGTGCTTCCGTCGGAGACGAGGTCCAGGGGGCACTTGCCTCGGTGGTTGGCATAGTTCACGTCGGCACCCTCCTGAGCCAAGTAGCAGGCGATCGCGGTCCCCACGTTCAGCTCGTGGCTGCCAAGGAACCCCGAAGCCCGGAGCTGAGGGGGCGGGTGGAGAAATGGGGAGAGAGCAATTGTTTTATTATTATTTTTTTATTATTATTATTAGAACATTTCTATTTAAGAAAGAACATTTCTGAAAAACATTTCTTTTTAAGCAGACCGCAGATCTGGGCCAACTTCCCCAGGCAACTTCTAAGGCAAATCCTGTCCCTTGCTTTCCGACCTCCTTCACTGGAGGCCCAGGCACTCCCGTTCGCACAAGCGACCTGTGCATTTGTGAGGGTGCAGCTGCGCCCTTGCACAGATGCCAGACAAGCGCAAGCCCGAATGAGCAGCCGCAGACAATCTACTTCCGCACGGGAAGGAACGTCTTGCGGATGCCCCCACCAAGGACCCAGGGAGACCAGGGTGCAGAGCCTCCCCCGCCCCCCGCCCAGCATCGTTCAGCCTGCAGGGGGCCGGGACCCCTCTTCCACCTTGGAGAAGAGGCTCTCCTCCCCGTCTTGCTGCTGCTCCTCCACCATGACCGTCATGAGGTGCTCTCTCTCCAGGACGACGTGCATGGCCGTGTCCCCGTCCTCGTCCTCGGCGTTGACGTCACAGCCCTCGCTCACCAGCAGCTGCACCATGTCCATGTGGCCCTGAGTGACCGCCAGGTGCAGGGGCGTCTGGTTGCGGTTGTTCTTGACGTTCACGTCACAGCGGCCCTGCCGGGAGAAGCACAGGTTGGCTGTTGTGGAACAGAGGCCGTGCCTCGTGTGCAGAGAAACCGGCACCGGATCTTACGCCCGAAGACCCCTCTTCCCTCCCCATTCTCTTTCCTTGCATGTTGAGCCTTTCTAGGTCGTAACCCTGCCGTCTGGTTTTGCTGATTCTACCCAAGCCGCTCTGGAAGGCTACAGGTGCAGGATAAAATTACTTATGACACAGAAAAGAGTTCTCGGCTGCCTTGCGGCTTCTTGGATATTTAGTGCCGATTTCGAGCCAATGGGACCATTCGCCAGGCTCACTCCCACCCGGCCGAAGTGCCCAACAGGCCACGACGTCTGGACCCAGCCCTGCACCGGGACGAAATGACTTCTTCCCCCAGAAATCTACCTCTCTGATCAAGAGCTCAGCCACGTCTCGGTGGCTGTTCAAGGCAGCGAGATGCAGAGCAGTGAATCCATCTTCCTTCTTGGCATCGACCAGCTGCCGGGCTCTTGCCAAGATCTTCTTGATGGCTCTGGAAGGCGAAAGAGATTGGGATGAAGGACAGGGGAACTGCAGCGTCTTAAGCACGGCTTATCAGGGGACGAAAGTGCACTACAGAGACAGCTGCTCGGCAGTTATCAATGTCTTTAGCAGACGGCGCTGGGGGTGACAGGGAAAGCAGAAAGCAGGACATGTTTCTCCTGCAAGAAGGATATTGAGAAAAGGGAACGAAAGCACAGCTCCTTGGTTTCGCCTCCAAGGATCTTAAAAAAGAAAGTTGGGAGAAGAGGGCTTTAATCCAAGGCTAGCTTATGGGTCCTACCATGTTTCTGTGAGATGATAAAACCCTAGTTTGCTCCACTGACCAGAGTGATGCCTCCCTGGTTCCGATATTATTCAAGCCAACAGTGGTGGCCACACTCTGGGACAAAGGCCCTCAACTTGCCTCAATAGGGTGGGCAACCGGTGGCCCTCTGGTCTTGCCTGCCTCCCCACTATTCCTGGGAGATGAGAAGGGAAGGAGGGTGAAGACGCCCACCTAGCTGACAGTTGGCTAATTCTTTCCTCTTCCCTCCTCCTCCTCCTCTCCTTGCATGCTGTGTCTTTTTAGCCCACGCAGGCAAGGGTTTAGGGGGGTTGGTTTGTGTTTGGACTACTGATTGTAAGCTGCTCTGGGGGGCCTTTGTCTGGATGAGGAATGGGTAAAAAGTACTTTAAATGAAGAAATACAGAGGAGCTGGAAGATTTGGAGCCACTGCTGGTTGGGCAAAGGAAGCAGGGAAGCTGCAGGCTCATCCCTGAATAACATTAACAAGGATGTATCTTGAGTCCACTTCCAAAAGCCTGTCATAGCCACAGCTGCAGAACTGAGAAGGGGGAAGTGATGGCTGGGGAATATGGGGACTGTAGTCCTGGAAACAGCAAAGAGGACAGGTACTAAGAATGCCACAAAACAAGAGCCAAAGTGGTTTTTTTCCCGCTTCCATTGCCGCCTCACAATGCCGTCCGGCATATTAAGCCTATTAACCCATACCCAGTGGCTTCGTGCCTTTTTTCTTTAGAGCAGGCTCAGGAGAATGGATTGGGACCCCACTGGACTGGGGGAACAGGGCTTTGAAGGCATGCGGATCCGATCTCCCGTGCCTACGCTAGAGTTTAACAGGGGCAGCGGGGAGAGATTGCAGCTAGACGTGGCTTCAGATGTAAGTCTGTGTTGGCTGCCGAGTCTTATCCCTGCTTTGGCTCAGACTGAAAAGATGCAGAGAAATTTCAAGCTGCTTTTCTTATTTCACCACCAATGGATATCACAAACAAATGAGAAACAGAAAGAAGAACCAAGAGTAAAATGCTCGGGAAGTTATTGTTATACAGCATAAAATGCCTTTCCACACCCATATTGACACACACACACCTAGAAAATCATTTTGTTCTCTGTACATTTAGGGTACAATCCTGGGCAAATTTAGACAGGGGAAAAGTCCTACATGCATAGAATTGCATCCTTGGAAAATAAAGTTTCCAAGGCCTTCATTGTTTCTTGGGAGATGTTTGTATCTCATCTCCAAATGGGAAAAGGAAAGTGCAAAATAAAAAAATCTGTCTGCATAAGACACGCTTTCGATCTGGGACAATACTTTCCAGATAGGAGTTGCACACTTCCTCAAGGCACAGCTGAATGCAGCTTATAAGCCACAGAACATGTACAATGCACAATCCAAAGGCATGAGAAGAGGAAAGAGGACGATCAAATGTAGGCTGGCTGAGCATGTTCCTTTGCTCAGAGGGCAATCCTGCTGCATCTAGTACAATTATTTCTGGGTAAGAAGTGCACAGGATTGTGGCTTGGGCTGAAATCCTATGCACATATAGGCAGGAAAACCCCCTACAGCTGGCAGTATCTCCACCCAACCAGAGACTTTTCCTGTCTTGATTGTGCTCTAAACGCCCTCGCTTACTGCCCGTTTTCCAGGGATACAGATCCCTGTGTGATAAATTCAGAGGAGAGCCAACTTTTCCCTTCCTCCGCAGAAGCCCGATCTGTCGATGTCCCAATGCTCACAACATTCCTTTAAATTAAAACCTCTCCACAACACCACAGGGACTCAACCCAAATGGGGCGCACGACACCAGTAATTACCAAAATCGAAGGTTGACAAAGAGAAGCCCGTATTTCAGGAGTGGCAAACCTTTTCCAGGGCAAGGCCAAATGCATTCAGGTTTAAGACACATGAGACCCAAGGCGAAAGGAGGGGAGGCCAAAAATATCACCCGCTATTGTCGCTTATTCTTCCGACTGTCTGGCCGGGCAGGTTTCTCCACCGCCAAAACCTGGCTTTGGGGGAAGGCACTGGACAGCCGTCCCTTCCCGATGGTCCATTTTAGGCTCAAACTTTTCCTTACACTTTGTTTCCCTTCAGGGCTGCGTGGTGTAACAGGTTGAAACCTTGCTGGTTCTGGATGGTGAAATCGATATTCGGGACGTCCGTGAGTGTCTCGATGATGCACTTGAAGTCGGCGGTGATGGCGTAATGCAGCGGGGTGTCGCCGTACGAATCCTGAGGGGGAAGCCGAAAGGACAGAGCACGGGCCCAGCATGAGGACTGCCTGTTCGCCACACCGGCCGGCCAGGAGGCGCGTGTGACGGCGAGAGGCACGCGTGACATAAGGTAACTAGAAACCCTTCCTACCCAGGGCCAGGCCTGATCAGCTGCAGTAGAGGGTCAGGAAAAAATAGAAACACAGAAACAGAGCACGTCAGAAGGGGCCTACGGGGCCATCTAGTCTGACCACCGGCACTAGATGGCTCAGGTTACGACATGCCCAGCATGTGCTTGTCCAGCCTATTCTTGAACACCCGCACCAATGGGGCCTCAACGGCCTCTCGTGGAAGCCCATTTCCTGGCATCTAAAGTGAAACTTGGTTCCCGGAGGTTCACTAAACTATTGTGTTTAGAAAGGGCAGAGATGCTGAGCTGTGCAGAAAGGGCTACTCAAGGAAGGCTTTCTCAAAATGGCCTTCCAATAATTGAAACTTTACCCCAATATTAGGTTGAAATTTTTTTTTTTT